AACCCCAGGAACCCTCCCACTGTTCCCCCCCCCCCACAAGCTCCAAGAATACAGAGCATCACTTGCCCCAGACTAAGACTTCCTATAAGAACATAAGAGACGCCAGCATTGGATCAGGCCAATGGCCCATCCAGTCCAACACTCTGTGTCACACAGTGGCCAGAAATACCAGGGGCCGTCAGGAGGTCCAGCAGTGGGGCCAGAACTCCAGGAGCCCCTCCCACTGTGACACAGAGTGTTGGACTGGATGGGCCATTGGCCTGATCCAACATTGGCTTCTCTTATGTTAAGATCAATATTGTCTACTCCGACTGGCAGTGGCTGTCCAGGGATTCAGGCAGAGGTCATCTGCTACCAGATCCTTGTACATGGAAGTGCCGAAGTCTGGCAAGCAGAGCACATGCTCTGCAACCGAGTTATGACCTGTCCCCCGGCCAATCAGAAGACCAGCCTTGGAGCGCCTACAGAACGGCAAGAAAACGGGGCGAATCTAGCATTGAGTAGCCTTGCAAGGCGTTCCAGATGACCAGCGCTTCTGCCGCCAGACTCTAGAATTCTCGGTGTTTTAGTCTTGCGGGATTCTACTTGTGATGTTGGTCCAGGTCTTTAGAATATAAAGAACTTTTTCCCCATTCTTTTTTCTCCCTTCCAGATTCTGGGCAATATCTAAACTCTGGGGAAGGGATGTTTCGGAGACCTTCAGAAGGGCAGTCCCTGATTAGTTATTTATCAGAGCAGGATTTCGGCAGCTGTGCAGACTTGGAAAAGGTGAGCGTGGGAAGAGGTGGAAGGTAAAGTCCTGGACACATTCACACGGGCTCTTTACTAGCAGTTAAACTGCAGGGAACTGGCATGGGAGAAGATTCACCAAACACCTTGGGCATCCTGGGAATTTGGAATTTGACCATCATGCGCCGTTTCAGGAATGCTTTCAGCCTGAATTCTTCCTAGAGAGGCAGTTTGGTGTAGTGGTTAAGTGCGCGGACTCTAATCTGGGAGAACCAGGTTTGATTCCCCACTCCTCCACTTGCACCTGCTGGATGACCTTGGGCAAGCCATAGTTCTGGTCAGAGCTTTTCTCTCAAGGGCAGTTCTGGAAGGAGCTCTCTCAGCCCCACCTACCTCACAGGGCATCTGTTGTGGGGAGGAAAAGGGAAAGGAGTTGGTCAGCCGCTCTGAGACGAGTGAAGGGCGGGATATAAATCCAATCTCTTCTTCTTCTAAAGTAATGCTACACGTGTTATTTATTTATTTACATTATGTATAGACCTTCTTTTCCACTGAGGCTGAAGGCAGATTACAAAATATTAAAAAATCAGGCTGTGTAAGACATTGAATAAACAATGCATTAGGACTGTGCTGTGAGGAGGGGCTCAGTCCCCGGCATCTCCAGTTAAAAGGGCCAGGCAGGAGGTGGTGTGAAGGACCTCAGTCTGAGACCCTGGAGAGCTGTAAAGAGGGGCCGTGGCTCAGTGGAAGAGCCTCTGCCTGGCATGCAGAAGGTCCCAGGTTCAGTCCCCGGCATCTCCAGTTGAAAGGACCAGGGAGGAGGTGATGGGAAAGACCTCAGTCTGAGACCCTGGAGAGCTGTAAAGAGGGGCCGTGGCTCAGTGGAAGAGCCTCTGCCTGGCATGCAGAAGGTCCCAGGTTCAGTCCCCGGCATCTCCAGTTGAAAGGACCAGGGAGGAGGTGATGGGAAAGACCTCAGTCTGAGACCCTGGAGAGCTGTAAAGAGGGGCCGTGGCTCAGTGGAAGAGCCTCTGCCTGGCATGCAGAAGGTCCCAGGTTCAGTCCCCGGCATCTCCAGTTGAAAGGACCAGGGAGGAGGTGATGGGAAAGACCTCAGTCTGAGACCCTGGAGAGCTGTAAAGAGGGGCCGTGGCTCAGTGGAAGAGCCTCTGCCTGGCATGCAGAAGGTCCCAGGTTCAGTCCCCGGCATCTCCAGTTGAAAGGACCAGGGAGGAGGTGATGGGAAAGACCTCAGTCTGAGACCCTGGAGAGCTGTAAAGAGGGGCCGTGGCTCAGTGGAAGAGCCTCTGCCTGGCATGCAGAAGGTCCCAGGTTCAGTCCCCGGCATCTCCAGTTGAAAGGACCAGGGAGGAGGTGATGGGAAAGACCTCAGTCTGAGACCCTGGAGAGCTGTAAGGAGGGGCCGTGGCTCAGTGGCAGAGCCTCTGCTTGGCATGCAGAAGATCCCAGGTTCAATCCCCATCGTCTCCAGTTAAAATAATACAGTCATCATTTCATTTGTAATGTAGTGTTGGAGTTTTGTGGATACTGCTGACTGTCCCAAAGACAAATAAGTGTGTTCCAAGATCAAATCAAGGTTGAATTCTTCCTAGAAGCTACAGTGACTGAACTGAGGCTATTGTACTTTGGTCACATTGTGCGAAGACAAGACTCACTGAAGAATAAGTCTTATCAGTGCCTACTAGCCGTGGTGACTGAGGGGAACCTACACCCTCAGAGGTACTAATCCTCTGAATCCCAGAGCCAGGAGGCCTCGGCCTCCGTGCCCTGTGGTTGGCCCTCCAGAGGAACTGGTTGGCCACTGCGTGAGACAGGATGCTGGACTAGTTGGACCACTGGTCTGATCCAGCAGGGCTCTTCTTATATTCTAAACCATGGAAGGGCTTCTCAGATGATAGCCAGCACCTTGAATCGACCTCCCGTGACTGATCGGTATCCAGAGGGGTGACTACAGAATAGGTGTAACAGGCCCTAACCCGTTCCATCCACTAACCAAGCTTTGGCATTCTGTACCGGCAGGAATATCTGAGTTGACTTCGAAGAGAGACCCATGTAGAGCATATTACAATAGTGTAACCTCTGGGTTACTGTGGCATAGATTCATGTGGCTAGTCAAGGCAGGGAGCTATCCTCAGGGCTAGATGAAGATAGAAGAAACCATTATTATTATTATTATTATTATTATTATTATTATTATTATTATTATTATTATTTGGTAACTGCATTAACTTGCTTCTCCATAAATAACACTGGGTGCTGTATAACCCCATTGTTCTTTTTTTTTTTGCCGTCAAATCTCATTCCTGTCCGGCGCTAGCTTTGGTTGAGCTCAGCGCTTTCTAGGTGTGAGCAAACACACAGTCATACTGAAAGACTTCAATCATCTTTATTGAACTTCACATGCATTCAAAAGATCATTACTCGCGATCTAAGCTGATGGCTGGGTGGAAAAGTTACATCTTGTGCAATCATTTAGAGCGAGAGGTGTCAGTTATCAGACACAGTTAAATAAACAAAATATGGCAAGAGCGCTAATGTTAAAAACCCTTTGTGTTTGTGTGCTTTATAAAGTTCATATCTCCGTTACCTGGCATTACATTTTATGGCACACATGGCCCGGCCCAACAAGGTCTCATTTATGTCAGATCCGGCCCTCATAACAAATGAGTTTGACACCCCGGCTCTCGGCTGTGGAGTCCTGTGAGCAAACATTCTACTTTGTGAGCTGCTGGCACTAAAGTTGTGAGCGAGCAATTTGGCTGCTGCATAAGAGCTGTCGTTTTTGAGCTAAAACAGAAATGTCTGAGCCAGAAGCTAAACTGTGAGGTAGCTCACACTAACTCAGCTTAGAGGGAACACTGGTCAGAGGGAGACGCAGCGAGTCTGATCTAAGTTGTACGAGCCCCCATTTCCTGAGAGAAAGGCGGGCCTTTAGATTTCTTAAATAAACACATTGCAGTAGTCAGTAGGGGAGGGGATGCGTGTGTGACTTTTGTAAAATTGACAGAAAACCAGTAAAGATAAAAGCAAGGGCAATCCTCATGTTTTAAGCTCCCAGTCATAAAAGCTAGATGCTATTAAAATGGAAGAAGAAGAAGAAGAGATTGGATTTATACCCCGCCCTTCACTACCCAAAGGTGCCTCAGAGTGGCTGACAAACTCCTTTCCCTTCCCCTCCCCACAACAGACACCCTGTGAGGTAGGTGGGACTGAGAGAGCTCTTGACAGAAACTGCTCTCTTTCAAGAACAGCTGTGCCAGAGTTATGGCTTGCCCAAGGTCATCCAGCAGCTGCAAGTGGAGGAGTGGGGAATCAAACCCGGTTCTCCCAGATTAGCAGCCGCACACTTAACCACTACACCAAACTGGCTCTCGAGCAAAGACACCCCCAAAGGTGCAACATTGGTATGCCAACGTATGGGGTTATTTTATTTTAGGCAAAATTTCAGATAATGTTGCTAATCCAGATACTACTATTAGCCAATCTAAGCTAATGGAGAAATGGTTCCCCTTTATGGCAAAAAATAATCAACGGTGATAAACATGATGCCAGCATCTCATCTGTAAATTACTATTCAGTGTTAGCGCTGCATTAATAATAGCACTTCAGTATTCTTATTATAACCTGTAATAATTGTTAGATAGCAAGATCAAGATACTTCATAACGGTTTAATACGTTACCCCAAATAGTTTATTGTTTATTTGTTTATTGTTATTTGTTAATTGTTATTCCTATAGAAACATAATCTATTAATACCCTTTTTTTTGGCAAACCTATGTTAAATAAAATTAATTTTTTTTAAAAAAAAGCTAGATGCTTTTGAGAGGAAAAAATGAAGCCCAGCCAAGAAGCGGACTCCTGTGCAGGATAATTCTGTGGATGGGCGGAAGACGCAGGGCCACAGAGTCAGAATGTTGGACTAGGAGTCAGGAGACCTGGGTTCAGATCCTGACTCAGCCAGGCATTCGTTCTTTGAATGGTGAAGAGTAAATCAGCAGATCTGCCGCCTCTCCCCATTTGCCCTCCACCCAAACCCACCTCCTGTTTCTTTGGAAAACCGCCAGCACAAATAGCTCTTTCTGATCTCGTGCGAAACTTTGGCTTCTCCCCTTTCCCCTCCGCCCAGGAAAACGCCCACTTCAGCATCTCGGAGTCGCTCATTGCGGCCATCGAGCTGATGAAGTGCAACATGATGAACCGGCAGCTGGAAGAAGAGGCGGACGACAGCGACAAAGAGATCCAAGAACTGAAGCAGAAGATTCGCATCCGGAGACAGCAGATCAGGACACGGCAGCTCCACCCAGCTTACCAGGATGTCAGCTCCGACAGTGAGTAGCTCCTCCCAGCATGGTCTGGAAGAGGGCACGGGCCCGGCCTGCTTTTGTGCCCCTTAAACGACAGGTTATGGCTGCCAAGTCCCCCAGGGGGGTGGGGGTTGCGAAGGGCCCCCCAACCCCGCCAGTCCGGATCAGGCTGGCGGGGGGGAGCCCCGCCCCCAAAGTACCCGTTTCGGGCCGACGTGCCCGGCGCGATGACGTCACCTGGAAGGGACGTCATCACGTTGGGCACGTTGTCGGCCGATGCTCTAGCAATCAGCCTGGAAACTCTATATGTGCCATAGAGTTTCCAGGCTGATTGCTAGAGCGTCGGCCTGCAACATGCCCTACGTGATGACGTCCCTTCCGGACGACGTCATCGCACCGCACGCGAATCTCCCGGACCGGGACCAGTAAGTGACTTGGCAACCCTACGACAATTGCAGTGCCTCATCACTGGCATCAAGACAGTGAAGACTCCGAAGGGGAGGTTAGCCATCTGTCACATTTTTATTGTTTGTTTGTTTGTTTGAAGCATGGACGGCTTCAAAAGGGAATTAGATAGGCCTATGGAGCAGAGGTCCATCAGTGGCTATTAGCCACAAGGTATGGATAGGGGCTCTGGGGCAAGGGATGCTCTGTCTTCTTGGTGCTTTGGGGGGGGTCAACAGTGGGAGGGCTTCTAATGTCCTGGCCCCACTGGTGGACCTCCTGATGGTACCTGGTATTTCTGGCCACTGTGTGACACAGAGTGTTGGACTGGTTGGGCCTTTGGCCTGATCCAACATTGGCATCTCTTATGTTCTTATGTTATGTTCTATGTTCTTATCCCGCCCTCCCTGCCAAGGCAGGCTCAGGGCATAAGATATGTTAAAAAAACTAAATCACAGAATTTAAATAAAACCACGACAACATAGACTAAAAAATATCGTAAAGTGCTAGTACATTCATGATGGCAGCAATCTGTCCGCATCCAAGTAATCAACTACCGCCACAGGCTGGGTTTTCGTCAGGCTGTTGATTATTAAGTTGGTGTTGATATTGAGGCCGGGGCTCACTGTGTGATACAGAGTGTTGGACTGGATGGGCCTTTGGCCTGATCCAACATTGGCGTCTCTTATGTTCTTATGTTAATACTGAAAGGGCGGCGCCCTAATCGAAGGCCTGGCAGAAGAGCTCCGTTTCACAGGCCCTGCGGAACTGTTAAGAGGTCCCGCAGGGCCCTGATGTCAATCAGGAGCTCATTCCACCAGTGCGGGGCCGCCGCCGAGAAGGCCCTGGCCCTTGTCACAGCCAGCCTGGCTTCTTTAGGGCCTGGAAGGGCCAGGCGATTTGGGACCCCGATCTTAGTGCTCTCTGGGGAACATGTGGGGAAAGGTAAGCTGGCCCTTGACCATTTGTCCTTATCCAGAGGCTCTGTCCCTCGCTTTTTGTTTGTTTCATATGTTGTAATCCTGTTGGAGAGCGGACTGAGTTGACAGATCCTTTTGGAATAATCTCTAACCGTGCTCCGGTCAGACAGTTCTGGAAACGGGATCTGTCGGTAGGAAGGACTGAAAACTTTTGCACTTGTGTACAGATACCATTTTCCAGACCTTTGCCTCATTCTCACATTGTCCTCCCAGGTTTCATGGCAACAGACAGCGGGTCCCAGTTCAGCTCCCGAGACTCAACGCATCTGTCTGACTCGGGCTCCGCAGACGAGGTGGATGAGTATGAGCTCAAAGGTAAGATGGCCCGGCTGGAGAGTTCTGTGTCGGTTCCGGTCGGACCAGCGGTCAATCTAGCGTTGCCCGGTCTGAACGGCAGTAGCTCTTCAAGCATCCAAGCAGACAGATCCCTTTCCTAACGCTTGAAAAGCTTCCAACTGGAGACTCCAAGGGTTGGTTGAACGTGTGTCCCATCGTTGCTCTGTGGTCCTTCCCTGAACAGGGTTCAACGTGCCGTCCTGGCGGCAGGAGAGTGGTCTTCTCATATCTATGGTTTCAGATGGGTAGCTGTGTTGGTCTGCAGTAGGAGAGCTAGATTCAAGTCCAGTAACACCTTAGAGACCAACAACTTTTCCATGGTAATGATCTTCCAAGCGGGCCCATAACTAGGGTGGGGCTACTGGGGTTCCGCCCCCTTCCTTAAAGAGCCAGCACCCTTCCTTAAAGGGCTCCCGCTTCTTCCCAAAAGCATTTAAAGGCATCCTTTAAATGCTTTTGAGAAGAAGTGGGGGGTGGCATGTGCCCCTCTCTCTCCCATCTTGCAAGATTTAAGAAGAGATTGGATTTATACCCCGCCCTTCACTTGGAGTCACAGAGCGGCTTACAATCTCCTTTCCCTTCCCCTCCCCGTAACAGACACCCAGGAAGAGGAGGAAGAGGATATTGGATTTATACCCTGCCCTTCACTACCCAGAGGAGGAGTCTCAGAGCGACTTACAGACTCCTTTCCCTTCCCCTCCCCACAACAGACACCCTGTGAGGTGGGTGGGGCTGAGAGAGCTCTGACAGAAACTGCTCTTTTTTTTCAAGAACAGCTCTGCCAGAAGTGTGGCTTGCCCAAGGTCATCCAGCAGCTGCATGTGTTGGCGTGGGGAATCAAACCCGGTTCTCCCAGATTAGAGTCCGCGCACTTAACCCCTGCACCAAACTGGCTGTCACACCAAAGGGCCCTCCAGCTGATCGGCGGGCCACATGCTCCCTGCTGATCAGCTGAAGGGGTCATTAAATCTTTCCAGGAGGGGAAGGAGAGGGGCGCGTGCCAATCCCCCATTCCTTACGGCAAATAATGGCAGCCCCACCAGAAAAGAAATTTGCCCCACAAGCCACAAAACCCTGGCTACGGGCCTGCTTCCAAGAGTCAAAGCTCCGGGAAAGGGAGCCCTGACTCCGGAAAGATTATACCCCCCAAAATCTTGTTGGTTTCTAAGGTGCTACTGAACTCGAATCCCGTGTCGAATCCCAGAAGGGGCATCTTCCCAGAACTGGCGAGGTCTTTTGCAGAGCGATTGCAAATATTGCTGCATTGCCTGGCGAAGTTGATGCTTTTGTTAGGCACTGGTTCTTTCAGCGAGGACAGCGGCATCAGCTTTGGAAGCCCGAATCACAACAGACAGGGGTCATTTCCTGCGGGAGCGCACAGGAGCGGCGCTCCGGCAGTAAAGAGCCCAGGGGGCGGGCACATGCAACAAACCCCGCCCCCTGCTCCCAGCAGCCCTCAGTCAGAGCAAGAAGCAGCCAAGTAAGTTGCGGAGCTCCCCCTGGCCCAAAACACTTCAGTGGCACCTTTAAGACCGAGTTTTATTCAGGTACAAGCTCTCCCTCCTCTGCGAGGACAGATCTGCACGTTCCCCCCTCCCAATAGCTAGCAATCCAAAACAGTCCACTGGAGCCTGAGCGGTGGGTGTTGCCTTCTGACACACTTCCGGTGATGTCAGGAGGTGTGGCATATGGAAATGTTATGCTAATGAGTTGTGCTAATGAGCTCCTGTACCTCTTTTTCTACGAAATGACCCCTGACGACAGAGGAGGGGATCTGCCTGTGACAATTTCTTCATTGTGTGAGCTTGGCCGTCTGAATTAAAGGGCTCGCCTTGCATGGCAAAAGCGCCTTTTAAAAGGAAGGGCAGGACACTTTCCCTTTTTTGAAAAGTAATAAGGAGGAACTGCAGAGAGACTGGCCCGCACCAAGCCAGGAAAGTCGCCCGATGTCTGGAAACGTGAACTGGAAATGATAGTTTGGTGTCGTGGTTAGGAGTGCGGACTCTAATCTGGGAGAACCGGGTTTGGGCCCCCACTCCTCCACATACAGCTGCTGGTGGGACCTTGGGTCAGTCACACGTTCCCTCAGAGCTGCTCTCTCAAGAAGTTTGGTGTGAGAGCCAGTTTGGCGTCGTGGTTAAGTGTGCGGACTCTGATCTGGGAGAACCAGGTTTGATTCCCCACTCCTCCACTTGCACCTGGCTGGATGACCTTGGGCAAGCCGTAGTTCTGATAAGAGCTGTTCTCTCAAGGGCAGTTCCTGTCAGAGCTCTCTCAGCCCCGCCTACCTCAAGGGGTTTCTACTGTGGGGAGGGGAAGGGAAAGGAGGATTGTAAGCCACTTCGAGGCTCCTTTGGGTAGTGAAGGGCGGGGTATAAATCCAGTCTCCTCTTCTTCTTCTGTTGGGTCCGGTTTTCTCCCGGTGTGAACAAGCAGGAGACCTGCTCTGGTGGAGTATATGCCATTTCTTCTTCTTCTCTCCCACCCCCTTGGGCTGCTTTCACACGCACAAGAACAGAAGAGGGAACATGCCTAGTAGCAGAGCATCTGTGTGCATTCCCACTGTTGGGTTTTGGGAGTGCATCGCAAGCACTCTAGAAGTCCCCCGGTGCAGGGGTTAGGGGTTTCCGTGACTGTTTCATTGAGCCCCAGAAAATTGCTGGGGCCGGCTCATTGTCTGTGAAGTTACAAAATGTACATGTTCCATGCTTTTCTCCTGCCTTGTCTACCCACCCTGTTTCCTTTTTTCACCTTCAGGAGGTTCTGTCGTAGGTTTCAGTGCTCCCTCTAAGCCGTGGAGTCTCGTGAGCAAAAATTCTCCTGTGTGAGCTACTGGCATTCAAACTGGGAGCGAGCCATTTGGCTACGGCATGAATCAGTTTGCTCTGGAGCTGTCCTTCCTTGAGCGAAGACCAAAAAAAAAAAAAAAGTGAGCCAGAGGCTAAAAGACTGAGCTAGCTCACACTGACTCAGCTTAGCCCCCTGCTCCCAGCAGCCCTCAGTCGGGCCACGAGGAGCAAGAAACAGCCAGGTAAGCTGCAGAGCCCCCCCCCGGCCCGCCTTCAGGTACAAGCTCTCCCTCCTCTGTGAGTTAGCAATCCAAAACAGTCCAGTGGCACCTTTAAGGCCAAGTTTTATTCAGGTACAAGCTCTCCCTCCTCTGTGAGGGCAGATCTGCACGTTCTCCCCCCCAATAGCTAGCAATCCAAAACAGTCCAGTGGAGCCTGAGCAGTGGGTATTGCCTTCTGACACACTTCCGGTGATGTTAGGGGTGTGTGGCATATGCAAATAAGTTATGCTAATGAGCTCCTGCACCTCTTTTTCTACGAAATGACCCCTGGCAGGGACTCTCAAAAGTTTATACCACACCACAAATTTTGTTACTGTGCAAGGAGTTGCACGGGACCTGGAAGGAATCTATTTTAATTCATTATAGTACGGCACTGTTTATAGTATAGCCAGGAGAGCCTAAATTTGTCTGGCAGAATAAAGTTCTAGCTCTTTTAGCATTATGCACCACAAGATGGTGAGCTGGACTTATTTGTGGGGTGGGGGCTGAGAGAGCTCTGAAAAAGCTGTGACTGACCCAAGGCCACCCAGCTGGCTCCATACGGAGGGATGCGGAATCAAACCCGGTTCCCCAGATTAGAATGCGTCGGTGTTAACCACTGCCCCATGCTGGCTGTCTACCCGGAAGGAAAGTGGTAGGGATGCAAGACTGTGCTTAGAATATGGTGTAGTGAGGCATTAGGGGGTGCAGATCTTTAAAGTAGAGAGGTCTTGTGAACCTTCTGTTTTCAGAGGTTCATCAGAACCTTATCAGGATTCCCCTGTGAGAGAGTGGTAGTGGAGGGCAAACTTCCCTTTAAACTGACCTCGTCCACCGCAACGAATCTTTACCTGCTATGGGCAGCCAGAGGGGAGCATTGGCATTGGTCTGGGGCACTCCCTTGGGACCTGCAGAGTGACAGTGAGGCCCTGACTTGGGTGGGCCGGGATAGCCCGGATCTCTTAAGCTAAGCAGGGTCGACCCTGGTCAGGGCTTGGATGGGAGACTCCCATAAGGAAGTGCAGGGTCTCCACCCAGAGGCAGCCAATAGCAAACTGCCTCTGAAGGTCTCCTGCCTTGGAAACCGTCTGGGGTCACCATAAATCGACTGTAACCTGACGGCAAGTTCCAACCCCTAGCAGGCCTGGACGGTGCCTTCGAGAACATATCCCAGAATCCCCAGCAGATTGTAGAGATGTTTGCTCAAGGCAGAAAACTTGAAAACCTCTGTCCTGGTTAGAGATGTAAAAATTCCGGAAATTTTGAAGCTCGGGAAGAAAAAACCCAGGGTTTTTCCCAGTTTTTTTTCGGGGGAAACGGAAATTTTTGGGAAAATTGAAAAAAAAAAACGGGGGGAAAAAGCTGTGTTTTTCTGAATTCTTCCGTTTTTTTCCGGGCCTTCACATCTCTAGTCCTGATGGAGAAGCCCCTTTGCCTTTGGGCCTCTCTCTTGTCCTCCCCCCCTAGAGATGTGAAGGCCTGGAAAAAACCCAGAAAAATAAAAAAAGTTTTTTCTGTTTTTTTCCTGAAGCCTTTTTTGTTTTTTTCTGAAAAATTGGAAAAATTGAAAAAAGAAAAGAAATTAATTATGGAACGTTTTATTTTAACATGATGAATAACATATTTTAAGGCAAGGTGTTCAAATATTTTCCAAATCATTTCTAAAAAATATGTATGGCATCAGATTGATCTAATTTCTGTGCACTGAGGACAAAGCAAGTCCTAGGTTACAAACTGAACTCTCCAATGCAAGAACAAGATGCACTTCTTCCTTTTGGAGGTGCTATTGTCACAAGAAAAGAAAAAGGTTTCAGTTTTGTTTATGCATGTGGGTGGGTATTCTGTTTGTAATAATTGTTTGGATACACTGTATTTTTAATATGCTAGTTGTGATAATTTCATGCCAAGTAGAAATGTCCATAGTCACATTTTATGTTCCTAAAGTAACAGAATGACTTTCAGTCTGGAAAAGAAAAAAGAAGTGCTAATGTAGCCTTTTTTCCAGTTTTTCCGAAAATTTCCATTTTCCCCCAGAAAAAAAACGGGGGAAAACCAGATTTTCCCCCTGAGCTTCAAAATGTCCGGAAATTTTACATCACTATCCCCCCTCCCCTTCTTATGCTCACCCTCCCTCCCTTCCGTCCTTTTTTTCTGCTGACATGCGATATTTTGTCATCACCATATCATGCAGATGGTAACGATGGATCTAACCTGATTCAAATGTCCAAGAACGGCCTGTCCGTCTCAATGGCTTCCTTGTTTTCAGGTAGTAACCTCACTCCTGAGCTTGTCAATGTGCGTGTCGGTCAGTCTGTGCGTCAGTTGGGTAGATCTCACCTGGGATATCCCACCTGTTAGCTAAGTGTTTCCCTGTAGCGCTCACACGTTCCCGAATCCTTTGCTTGCTTTTCCTTTAATCAAGGTAACTGCAGACAACCCTGCGGGGCTAAAAAAGTTTGAAATGATCTTTGCGGAGGCCGCGGTGGCTCAAGTGGTTAAGACGCTGAACTGCAGACTGGAAGGTCGGCAGTTCGAGACCCGAGTGCCGCATGACGGAGTGAGCTCCCGTCTCTGGCCCCAGCTCCTGCCAACCAAGCAGTTCGAAAGCAAGAAATTGGAAGTAAATAAATAGGTACTGCTTCAGTGGGAAGGTAACAGCGTTCTGTGCGCCTCGGCATTCACATGACCACGGAGAAGTCTTCGGACAGGGCTGACTCTTCGGCTTGGAAACGGAGGTGAGCACCACATCCCTAGAGTCGGATTCGACTGGCTTTCGAGCAAGGGAAACCTTTACCTTTACCTTTAACGACACTGCAAATGCATAACACTTTTAAGTCAGGAGCAGACACAGATAATCGTGGCTTCGTTGGGCAAACTTGCAGTACCAAACAAAAGCTCACTGCTTCTCATGGTGTCTGGAGTTTGATTGCTTTCCAGTTCTTTATGTATATATGTATTTGGTTATTCATAGTCCGCCTTTTTCGCTGAGACGCAAGGTGGATTACAGAGGCTAAGTCAAGGACAACCAACAGGAATGGGTCGTCCAATGTACAGTGCAATACAGCTGGGACTGCCGAAATCTGAAAACAGACAGAAATCTCCCAACAGCATTGAAACAAAAGCATGAGCTTTTAAACATGACGCCTTAAATGGTGTAGAAACTACCTAGTTTCAGGTTCCTTAGTCAGGTCATACTACACAGGGCTTCATAAGAAGATCACTGTTTATTAGTGAATCCAGTACTAAAGAACGCGTGTACAGCTTGTGTCAGGAATGGCCGTTAATGCAAAGGCCTCTAACTTATAGTAAACTCAAACATCCCCCCTGGAAGCATAAGCATAAGCCCCCTGCTTCTCCTTGCATGAAGTCTTCCAAAAAGGGGGACAGCCTTCTTGTATGGATGCAGCTAACATTCATAACATGCATAATGTGGTAAGAAAACCTTTGAAGCCAAGTTATATTAGTAATACGGTATAATTTTTATACTTATGAATTATGTCTTTTAAATAATCTTTTGTAGGACTGGCAAAAAGCATCCATACAAGAGGGCTGTCCCTCCTTTTTGGAAGACTTCATGCAAGGAGAAGCGGGCTTATAATTCTAGAAACGTCCGTTGGGGCTTGACTTTTAAAACACTGATGCAAAATTGTCTGGTAGTTAGTGATCTGTATGTATTGAATGTTATTGCTTATTGAATGTAATGGATACTTATACCTGACTAGGATGAAATAATGATACACTATGCACTTTACTGAATGATGACCATGAATAGAACACGTTAGTTTATATATATAGCAGTGTATATTTATTTTTTACTAGATTCTCCTAACACTGCAGCTCGGGCTGCTTCAGCCTCCAGGTGGGGCCTGGAGATCTCCCCCTTTTACAACTGACCTCCAGCCGACAAAAGATCAGCTCCCCTGGAGAAATCGGCTGCTTTGGAGGGTGGACTCTATGGCATTGTACCATGCTGAGGCCACTCCCCAAACCCCGCCCTCTCCCGACTCCACCCCCCAAAGTCTCCAGGTATTTTCCAACCCAGACCTGGCAACCCTATCTAGGAGGCACCATCCTGGTCAAGAAATCAAAAGTTCCTCACTGGGCATCTGCTGTGATTTGATTTATTTGATTTATTAATCGCTCAATCCTGCAGAGCTGCTGGCTCTGAGCGATTTACAGTTACACATATTCCCATGGGACTAACAATGATTCGTAGGGGTAAAAGAGGACAACATATAAATCTTTTTAAAGTCGCACACGTTTGCAGCCGACGGGGATTTTGTTCAGCTGTAGGCTCAGACGTGTTCCAGACGGCATTCACTCGGCTTGGCTTGATGGTGTCAGCTTTTTCCAGGACTGCTTTGAGTCGCAGCGCCACACTGCCACCGCCTGGCTGGATCAGCCCATCGCAGGCTTCATGATGCCGAGCAGATCTTTCCAGGCTTCCGAGCTGGACATTCCGTTTCGCCGGCTAACACCTCCCCCCACGGGGTTTTTTTTAGTGTGCCCACCCTCTCTGAGGAGTGGTACCCATTTTATCTACTCGCCGAAGCTTTCGAACCGCTGGGTGGACGGCGAGCTGGGGACAAGGCTGGTAGCTCACATCAGCGCGGGCTAGAACTGACAGCAGTTCTGTTCAGTTCAGATGTTACTGTAACCAGAGGATAAATCCTCTGTGCCACCGCTCCCCATTTCGGCTTGTATCATTAATGGTGGGCCCACCCAGCCCCTCCGTGCCTCCCCTACCCAGCAGATCAGGTCAACCTCCA